ACAGAACGCCTTACTAGTTGAAAATGTACGCAAAAAAATCTGAAAAACCTGTATTCCACTCGACGTAGTGGAAACAAGTCAGATAATGTCAAAACAACAACAGGCAGGTGCGCAAAAGGAAAATAGGAAAATGCTTCGGGAAAAGATTTTCAAACCATAAAGCGGCAGAGTTTTGAAAACGGAGTAATGTAAAAATGACATCTATTGATGCAACGCATTTTTTTCAAAAATACGTTAAAAAGTTGCGCTGTTCTATTTTATAAAATTAGATTATTTTGAAATTGGAAGAGGTTTATTTTGTCAACTGTTCTTAGCATTGTTGATACTGTTAATAATAATAATACATTTTTTTTAATTTGAGTCATTCTTCTGCTATATGTTCTAAATTCGTATGTTGTATGTTTTTCCTACCTTATGTTTATGATAATACTATTTTGCAGTTTTATACGCATAGAAATCTAAACTAGAATTCTCGATACTGTTTTTTAAATTTATATTTTCTCTCAAAACCTCAAAGATATTGAAGAAATACAAAAAAAAATGAGGCAATCCAATTCCACCTCAGACAGGACTTATTATTTACCTTCGCAAACTTTATGTCTCGGTCCGACTCGGAGTTGTTTAAATTACATCCACGGTATCTCGCCTTGAAAAAAAAACTATTTCAAATTATTCTAACCCCAAACCTGTTTCTTATATTAGTAAGTAGCCGTATAAAATATTTTAATGATGTCTGTGCAAATCTACAAATTCTGTGATTTATACTTTCAAAATAGTTTACATTGAATCTACGTTATCGATAACAAAGAATATAAACTCCAACTAACCTAATAGTAAGCCAAGGATCTAGATCTTCTTGACTGTTGTCCCTAATCGTCAAACTCTCCTCTCCAGCTTATTTTTGGTAGACAAAAAGTGTCAGTAACCGTGAATTTCTGAGACCAAAATCTCCTTTTAAAAGATGTTATCTCTGCGGTGGTACAGATAATGACAGGAATAATGATATGTTTTATGCAGAGATTACAGTGTTAGAAACCCATGGTAAGTGACTCTAAATAATCTAATCTTACATACAAAATTCTCGTGTCACAATGTTAGTTACCATACTCCTCCGAAACGGCTTGACCGATTCCTAAATTTTTTATGCATGTTCAGTAGGTCCTTGAATAGCTATTATCTATTTTTTAATCGTTCTTATAAAAATAGCAAAATCTACAACTACTGTTTGTTAAATTACTATTTATATAAGTAAAATACATAAGTTTTTGGTAAAATATGAAATTCTGTCAATATCTAGATGAAGAAGACCTAATGTTGCCGAACTAATTAAGAGTTTGCGTTAATCTCATCATCATTTGGAAATTAGATGATGCCGCCTTGAATACTAAAGTAAAACTGGCTCGATATGAAATGCGAAGCACGCCGCGGGATCTAATTAGCATGACGTGACGTCACCCCTCTACTGAATTACCGAGAATTTCTTTCATTGTTCGAAAATAACTTATAATATTGTTAAACTCGACTTTGAAGGATACGATTGTATGAATGAACTGAAGTTTACTAGAAAAATACTCGGCGAAATAATTGTTATCTCTTTCTTCATACTAAGTGAGAAGCATAATATATTTTTTAGACTCTGATAAATCCAACTTAACTAAAGCACAAAATAAATATTTCCAACATATATCGAAGGCAAATTGTCGATGCATATACCAAAGGAGAATAATTAATTATTAACATTATAAAATTCGATAGCTCACGGTTCCGTTACATGGGAATGAAAATCCAAAACAAACTGGCACAGAGCAAGGGGCCTTACACCACAAACAAGGATTAAAAGTTTAAATTATTTCAGCAGGTAACTTGGTCCACCGGTTAACAGATTTCCCGCGCAAACTACCCGCTCCGACCAGATGCTGTGTAATCCGCTTGTTAATTTTGTCTATAACTTTCAGACCTTTTATATTGTTTAATCTCATTCATTAATAACATAACTCAAGTATGTATCCAAGCCAGGTAGAGATTAAGTACCTATATCTAGAAGTCGCTTAATATTTTTATACATGTTTTCCACTGCAGATCCACGTGTTCAAAAACAAATTGTATAGCTCTGTTTTTTCCATAGAACTTAAGAAGATTCAGCCGTGAAAACCCACGGTGTAAAAATATTGTTTACTTTGTTATTTTATAGGATATGGTCATTCTATACTTATGTCTATTTTTGTAAACATTGCTTTACGACAGACCCAGATAACAGAGGAGTGTTTGGGACTTTTCCAAGACAACCGGTTTCTGCATTTTATCCTTCCAACAGCGACTATTAAGATCAAATCTCTGTTTACTTACCCAAAGCTTCGGAATGTAGTCTATTTGTAGTATTGTGCCAAGTCGGTACAGTGCTCAACATTTTCTGAATCCCCGATAGAACATGTCTTAAAAGATTCAAGAAATGGGACCATATTTCAAGTTCTAAATTATCCAATAATCACGCTTAACGTGCAACTATCTCGCTGGCATTAAACATGTTAACTTTTGCCACTGTTATAAATATAAATTAAAAAGAAATCATTCTTGCGGAGTATCTATTTTGTTCTGGACACAAATATGTAAATGAAAACGTATTAACAATACCCATGTCCAAAACAGATGTAACATTAAAAAAGAAAACATATTTCACAGTCATTCATCAAAACGTTTTCAGATTAGTGGTCATAATCGAATCCTTTCAGAGTGACGTACAATTCGGGGAGTTCCCGCCAAACCCACGTCACAGACACAATACAAGCGACGTTTACAAACCGATGTCATAACTTTGAAAAAAAAAACCCTAAGCGCGTTGACAAATTGAAATGCTTTTTTCACCAATCTTATTCTAAATGTATGTGGTTTTTATTTATTTTCTACACAATTAATATTATGTCTGTGGTAGATTTTTTTAATATGAAACCATGTTTTAAAGGCCTGGCTACGACTTTTAAAATTATTTTAATATATTGGTTTCTACAATACTGTGAGCAAAGGCAATATAAACAGTGATATAATTTGATTATAGGTTAACTAAGTTAGTTACTAAGATCATTAAATGGTGATGACAAAACCAAAACACGATTGCAAAATTCATCAAGTTAAAATCAAAATGTATGAAATGAAAGATGAGTTATCCAACTATAAATAAATATTCAAGAAAAAAATGTAATCCGTTTGGTCGGGACGAGTGCGGATGCAGTACGCTAGCGCAAGCAAATTAGTTCCCAGTTAACTTCTGTCTCCGAGGAAGTTAAATTGGCTGCGCGACGTTTCTTTAGTTTTTTATATAAAATAAATATATTATGTCATCCGTAGATACACAGGCAGCCCTCAATGAGAATTCGAAAAAAATAATACAACAAAGCGCGTAGACATATATCTTGTCATACACAACACGTTTTAGACGATTAATCTTATTATCTCATCTTATTAATATCATAAATACGAAAGTTTAGATAGTTGCATGAATGGATGGATGTTTGAAGGTATCATCGAAACAGCTTTACGGATCCTGATAAAATTTAGCGCAGATGTAGAACGTAATCTGGAAGAACACATAGGCTACTTATTAAGTTTTTTTTTTTTGATCCGCGAGGATGGAGTCGCGCGCGACATCTATTTAAAATAACTGACTTCATCCTAAATAAACATTGGCATGTTCAGTATCTCGCCCCATATTCGTTTATCGTTTATAGCTATATTATGTTTGGAAATCTCATAACATTTCTTCATTGCTGTTTTGTTTCTTTCTTGTATACCTGTTCAGAAAAACTTAAATATAAAAAGCAATGAATATTTGAAAAGTAATCTACTCTCCAAGATTCGCGGAGAGGCAATACGTTTGCACAGGCAAATTAGTTGCTAGTTCTGTCAGGACGGAAGTTAAATTGCCTCCTCGACTTTTGCGCTTCTTTAATTTCTGTTGCCAACAGAGTTATGGCAAGGAAATTACTTTATACCCAGGCGTATTCTATGATTTGTATATCGTACAAGTGCGTTATTGTCGCGAATATTGCTAAGAAATACATATTAACCCGTTGATTTAAGTATTTGGGGAAAGCACACATAATGCAAAGGTGGTTCTAAAATAGTGCCTTTATCGTACATTTTATTTACGAGTAAAGTACACTTTAAGCCCACTCATAACAAAGTTAATCTTAATCATTTTAGAAATAAAATAGTCCTCTGTCATCATGTAGCAAAAAAATTTCGTCTTTATTAATGGCATTCAAGTTTATTAATCGAAGCTTTGTGTTGCCTAAAAGTGCTTATATGTATATTGTTATTGTTTTTAATTAACTTAACAGTGGTAGTGTCTGCGCGCTCGAACAGTAGGATAGATGTGGAGTATAATTCCGCATTTGGTATGATGAGCGTCCATGCCGGAGCCCAATTTCTAGTTCACATCCCCATTCAAAATTTTTCTTCTCAGGAAAGGATAGACACGTGGGCAGTGGTTGCTTAGCTATTTTATCAAAATTTTATGAAATCTTTATAATGCTAAATTATTTCACATTTGATAACTTAATAACTAATCATAATTGAAACAAATAATTAAAGTAAAAATAATTTGCTTTCTGCTTTGAAAATAATTCCATTGTAGTTCCATATACTTTTTGACGGGACGGGACAATTAAAAAAAAAACTGACAGCAACTAAATTCCAAATTGACAAGTGAAAGAAAACGAAAACGTAAACTTAAAATTAAACTATAATGAAATCTTCAAGATTAAAACATATTGTTTAAAATATATTACAATAACCAATGTTGTTGTTAAACTTACGCTTTAAGACTAAAAGGTACTCAAAACCTTTGTTTCTTTGTTATGTGAAAAAGGTTATATTATTATGACTCAAGGTGGTTCCGTGTCGAGATGATATGAAGTTTTCAACTTGCCTGTAACGTGCTTGCCTTTTATGGGTTAAGAAAGGCTTAATGCTGTGCTAGGGTCAGTTCATATCCGTATTTCAAGATGAGTGACCGCGAAGGACCGAGTGGCTCAGGCCAAAAGGGAGACAAAGAAGAAAAGTTTAGCAGGACCCCATCCCAACCAATGCCTACAGGATCAAGAACAAGGTACGTTTACAACACTAACTTATTATCTCTATTACTTAAAATAGCACTCGTTTGTCAATAAAATATACGCAAAATAATGCATAATGGACGAATATTAGAAAGAGTAAGTGGATATATTTTTAACTTATTTGATGATGTAGCATTGTTTGTTATTGTTTTGCGTCACAAAGAGGATGTACTTAATACCTATATTGTTAATTATTATTTGTATTTTTTCTTTAATCTATATAATCTATACAATTTCTGTTCTCTCATACATGGTAAAAATTATTTTTTTATTTCTTCCAGTAACAACAGTTACTATGCAAATGAGCCTATTCAGTTCCGAGTGAGAGGATCTACAATAACCGGTGCATCTCCCCCAAAGTTTGTGACCCTCGAGGATATAATGAAAGCAGCACATGGCATGCAGAACATGGCCCTGGCTCATGAGATTGCTGTAGATCAGGACTTCAAGCTGGAACCATTTGAACCACCAGACAACAGGTATTATATAAAATGATTCATGGCACAAACATTACAAATTTTTCATATGACAATAAACTTGCCAAACCATGAAACCTATGAAACTGGACTTTTTAACCTTATTTGATATATTCTTTTGCAAAATTACTTTACCAAAGAATTATGAAGAGCGAATGTATCTTATTTCATATGCTGGTTATTGTGTTAGAGTTATGTCTTTATCTTGGTAGCTTTTTAGAAATGTTTTTTTTTACATTGCAAAAACAAAAAAAAATAATTCCGTTGTCCACAATGATCTAAACACATTTGTGGTACTTATAAGGCTCTACAAGTAACAAAGCTTTGTCCTTTTAAATATTCAAGTAATTATATTCATGTATTTTATTTTTTATTATCATAAAGTAACACAATGTATCTTATTACAGTTATCAAAAGCTTGTTAAAGAAACAATGCACAAAGCATACTTTGATATACTGAGGGAGCAATTGAACTCAGATCCACCTGAATACAAACAAGCACTTATCTTACTTCAAGATGTGAAGCAGGTATGTAAATAACAATGAGTCAGAGAAGTTCAAACACTTGTTTTAAATGATATCATCTTGTGTAGGTTTAATTGACTGCACATTTAATTTTAGTATTATTATTGCCCGTCACAGTTGTATTGCACAGAATTTTTACCTTTACATTTGAACCTAGATAATTGACAGTGATGGACGGTAATAATTTTTCTCTAACCGTTTCTCATTGATGAAGGTCATCCATTGAGACTGAATAATGACTTGCTTATAGAGGTTTCTTGCTTTCGGGTACAACTGTAGGCTCGGTTTATATATTCATTTGAAATGTTTTTACATCTCTCTAAATAAGTTTTAATTAGAAGTACCTTATCACAATGTTCATTTATCCCAAAAAAGTGTTAACATATGCTTCAACTATCTTTTCATAGCTATTAATAAATCAAAAATTATGTGTTATTACAAAACATTTTGTAATGGTCTAATTGTCATACCCGCATAATTAGAATTGTGAAATGAGCACTAAGGGAGACAAACATTTTTTCAGGGATTATTTTCAATACTTCTTCCTCGTCACAAGAGAATACGCGAAATGATTGAGGAAGTATTGGACCACGATTTTATCAAACAGCAAGCGGAGAACAACAGCCTTGACTTCAACAAGTATGCTACATTTGTTGTGGATCTGATGGCGAAACTGGCTGCACCGGCGCGAGATGATATGATACAGAATATATCAAAACTGACAGACACTGTAATAATTTTTTTTCTTTACAAGTAGCCAGGTTTATGTAACTATTACTTTATTGTCTGTACCATTTTAGGTGGATATATTCCGATCTATTCTCGAAACATTGGAAATATTAAAGCTGGACTTGGCTAATACATTGATTGCGATGATCAGACCTCACGTGCAACAGGAGAGTGTACAATACGAGCGAAATAAGTTTGACGAACTGCTTAAAGTCTCTGAAGGTAAATAAATGTACCATTTAATTTATTTTTTTTTCTTACAAATTTAATGGCATTAGTTGTCAGTCATACATACAGACAAAAACTGTCTTTAATCCTTTTTGTAGTATTTATTTTACATAATGCATTTGAATGCATAGATTATTAAATAAGCCAGCACATGTAGATGACTGAACTGTATTAGAAAAATATTTATTAAATTTGCTGGGAGAGTGTTAAATTGTTGACATATCTATAAATTTCTAAAATAATACTGTCCAGATCGATTGTTACAATTTTTTAAGCAATTTTATTTGCAGATGGTCTACAATACACAAGAGAGTGGTTACAAAGACACATAGATAAGACGGGTCTGACTATACCGGTGACTGATGCTATTGTCATAAGAAATGTTACCGCACAGACATTGGCTAAAGCTTATTTAGAACTTTTAGAGTGGGACAGCTCTAAAAATTATCCAGAGGTATGTAATGGAATCTTCTAAAGTTTTTTTTATTTTATCAATTACTTAGATTATATTAATATTATTTTACAAATAATAACTCCTAGCAATATTAATCTGTTATTCTTAGTTGCTTGGATACTCTAAAGTTACTATGGATTTCTAATCTTAAGAGCAATTAATAATGTAACTGTTGTGATTATTATAATTGCCATTTACAGTATAAATATTAAAGATTGTTTAAAAGTAGAAAAAAAAAACATTTTTTCCTAAAATGTTAATGACAAAAACCTTTTCTAGTCTCCGCATAACCTTCCTTCAAAGTTTCATCACAATCTTTACTTTGTTTTATAAACGCATTGACGACAAACATATTTTTATTTTTTCCTTTTTTTCTTTTTAGACGGTGTCACTAGATGCTTCCCGTTTCTCTGAGCTAGGTACACAAGTGTACCGACTGATCTGCACAGCATCCATACTGTTAGTGAGCCCTTCATGTGGCAATGATCCCTCTATAGCCACACAGAAGCAACAGTTGAAAGAGAAAATCATTATTATATTGGACAACACGTCAAATGATACGTAAGTATAGTAATTTAGATGGATGGACAGATATTTGTATGAAATTATCTCCCGAATGGCTCAATGGATCTTGATGCACAGATGTAGAACAGACTACTTTTTGAGTTTTGTTTTAACATCACGTGGACGGAGTCACAGGTGACAGCTACTGTACAAATGTTTTTTTTCCTAATTATTAATTCTCTCTCAACAGATAAAACAGTACTAAAAAAATTCTGGTTTTGTTTACTTTTACTGTACTAATCTGATTCTATCTCAGACAGTATTAAACCTGTTTAATTATCAAACTTTGTCGCCATATTTTTTTTTTGTTTGCAGTGAACTAAAATCTATATTGCCGTCTGTGGCGGAAGAAATTGTAGTCTTTACGGAGAATCTTCTAGAAGGACTGAACCAGGTCGCCCTCAGCACTGACACTAGAGAACTGATACAGTCACAGATCCTATCACTTTCTGATCCCGAGCATAGAGTCAGACAGATTGTCCGTAAGTATTTTATTTATATTTAATATCTTTATATAAAAGTTACTATTTATTTTTGACATGTCAAATAAGCAAATTTTTTGCTCACACCATTGCTATTAAAAATTAAAAGGCGTCACAATATAATCTTAAGACACCAAAAATCTAAAAACACACTAAAACTGCATTAAACTAATTTTTGGCATTAATTTTTCATCGCAGTCGGTTAATCTATTTGCTGTTTGGTTTGCTTACATCAGTAAATGTCAAACTGAGAGCTGTCAAAAATTTCCCTTTTTTGTTTTTATTTAATTTTATGACCTGGTAACCTAGACCATTTAGATCATGTCTTATTTGGAAAATGTTCATTACTTTGGTCCCTTTTTGTGTCATATCCAGGTCAAAGAATATTCGAGTTTCTCAAAGAGATACTGGTGTGCGGCGGTGGGTCTCGTCAGATACCTGTAGGCTTGTCTGCCTTCACACAGGAACTGACATCAGTATCTGGTACACTCCTGCGCTATGTCATGCACAATAAAGCTGTATTCACGAAATACTACCTCGATATAGTCGCTGAGGAATTAAGTAAGAATTAAGTTTTTTTATTTATTAATTTTAACAATTATATTTAAGTTGTACTCGCATTTATATATTAGCTGTTGTTAAAAACATTGAAACTATAACCTTAAAAAAAATCTTGGTATGAACATAGTTTGAAAATGGTTTCTTTTAAAATTGTTAAAAATATAATACAATTAAAAAAATAAAAGTTCATACTTCTAAAGTGTATTGATGTAAACTCTGTTAAAATTAATTCTTCATTATATTACGAAACTAGCCACATTTCTTTTAATGAATATAATTGGATGGCAAACCTTAAAATATACATTTTTATGTAGCCCTCAAAAGTTGAAAAAAAATGTCTTTGAAGTTTCAATATCTACTATACTATGCTATATATTGAAGTTGTGTGCTATATTCACATTTACAATTATTTTTTTCATTTGTCACAACTACAAAATAACAAACTCAACTTAAATAGAAACAGTCGAACCATGATAAGCGAGAGTCCAAGGGATCGCAATATTTCTCACTTTTAGAGGTTTCTCGCTTAACCAGATTCAATATATTGTAAATTTAATTTATTTTAAATTGTTAATTTATTTTGGTTTTTAAAATTGGTATAAATTATTTTATGAATGGATGATTTTTTATTGAGCAGAATATTGGTTTTAATCATCTGTAAATGTAAAAAATTGTGAATTTTAATCATATTTAATTTATGTGGACATTTATATTTAAGACTATTTAACGTGGGCTTCTGAGACCAAATTTGCCATGAAATGTCATTCCTCTCATTATCTTTGACGAAACAGAGATATTAATATATTTTAAATGAGAAGTTTAGTCTCAGAAACCGACGGTAAGACAGTTTTACTAAAATTATAGTAAAATGTATCACATAGAGGAACATAAATTAAGTTAAAATAGTATAAACATATTACTAATATTTTGATATCAAATAAACTGACCTTTTTTAATGAAATTTCAATGTGAAATTATAATTATTTTAAAAATTATACAAGTATTAATGATATAAATAAATTACAAATGTAATAGAAATAGTTATATACAAAAATGAGACGAAATTTTAAACTTTACCATTTTTTACTTTTATCTAAATAAAATGTGTCAAAAGCCGGAAAACTTATTTTTTACTTTTGTATAATAAAAAATACATTTTTTTAACTACATTAATAAAATTACTGCAACACAACTTGTATTTTTTCATTTCACAGAGAGACATGGTGTTACTTTGGGTTTGCATACGGGGGTTGGGTTGGTATCGACACATATTGTCATCCCTTTCTTACTCTTTGAAAAAACAGAGACAAGAAATGATGTCAATAAAAATGTATAAAAATCGTAGTGGCATTATTGAGGTAACCTATATACAATAACCTGTACTATAGACTGGCTATAAGATGTGGTAATTTGTGCCTGCTTGATTTTCGCCATTTTAACGCAGTTTGTAGCGGTGGTGTGGATTCGAACTAATAATATAGATAGAATTAACTGTAACGTAACATCTACAGGTGCGATTAAATCGGAAAGAAACGAATGAATTTTCAAACAATTGCCTATCCATTTAATTAGTGGTTTTCCAAAAACTTTCTATTTATCGTTGGTTTCAGAGATCAAAATCTCTGTTTTGACAAAAGATATTGACAAAGACGACGATATGTTTTATACAGGGATTATGGTCTCAGGAACCCATGGTTAGTGCTACTTCCACTTTTGATAAGATAGTGACATCTTTAATGAGCAAGAGCCAGTTTTTCTCCCCATTGATTTGAAATATTACTTAACTGACGTAAAGGAATAAAACTCATGCGAAAAATTGTCAATCATATTATTCAATTATACATTCATGAAGTTACACAATGATTGAAAATGGTAGATGTCAAATGAGGCATTGTGACGTCATCTAGTCAGAGCCGCTGCGCTTCGAAGAGGCACTCGATGCTGAACCGCTACGGGAACCCTGGTATAATTCAAAAGAGTGTAACATAAACAAACTGTAGATATAACAAATCGGTAGATACAATGTTTTTTTCCATTTGGCAACTAAAAGGCATTTTCAATTTTTTTTGTCCCAATACCGAATTAAAATGAAAAGCTATTCTATCTGGTTTTCTATGCACATCTTACAATTATTATAAATAGGAATGTTTAGATGGATGTTTGTAAGATGGTATCTGCAGAAGGACTGCATGAAGAAAACAGACTGCTAATAGTTTTATTGTAATTTGGCGCGGACGGAGTCGCGGCGACAGCTAAGATATTTTTCGTACGAACGTTCCGGCACTGAATTAACTGACCTGAATTATTCAGCAAACTTAGGATACTTATTATTTATGTAGTGAAACGCCGGTAAATACATTTTAATACATACCTGTCTGGAACCACTAGCCGACCGACTTCTGGACCTGTCTGAACCGCTACCAGATCCAGAGTTCTTTCTCGAGCTCGCTCTAGAAGATGCTTTGGATCCTGAAGCTTTGGAAGACGCGCGTGATGAAGCTCTAGAAGATCTACGGCTGGCACGCGAAGATGCGCGGGAGCTTGCCTTAGAACTGGCTTTTGAACCCTTTTAAGGAACATATTTAGAATTATAATCCAACTGCCACAATCAATGTCGTTAAACAGTCATTAAGAGATTACTTTGGTGTAGATGTAATATGAGAATTCTACACTAAAAGACTGGTTTAGTAAATACATTAAAAAATTCTGGGTATACCCGTAATTCTGTCTTAATTTGTAGGAGATATTCATATACTCTAAATAGATTATAGGTATTACTAGTTTTAACAATTAAAGTATTTAGATTTATATTCACGGGGAGTGTTATAAGTAGTCATAGACTTTGTTACCTTGCCGCTGGCTTTAGAACTGGCTCTAGAGCCCCTTCCACTAGCCGAGCTGGCTCTCGATCCTTTCCCACTTTTAGAGCTAGCGCGCGACGACGCCCGAGATGATGCCCTAGATCCAGAACGAGATCTGCCCGATCCTGACCTGATTACAAGAAAATAAGATAATTTTAAATGCGCGTTTAAATCGGAAAGAAGCAAAAGCATTTCCAAATCTTGGCCCATCCTTATATAGAGATAAGTATACTCAACATATTGAGTCCCGCTAAGATTTTTTTTTTATGAAAGTGAACTCGACAGGGAAATTGGTGGAAGTAAATATGGTAGGTAATTCTGTATCTGCATTTTGATAAATATTAAACAATTAAAACAAACATCAATTTCAAGGTCACTTGAAAAACTGTCTTTCACTGGTGATACAAATATCTCTATAAATAAATGCCTACAAGAACTCACCTAGCGGAACCAGACTGTGCAGATTCAGACCTGGATCTAGACTTCCTTGATCCAGAAGCAGATCGCGAGCGGCTTCTAGATTTAGACTTCGATTTGGATCTGGACCTCGACTTTTCGCGTGAAACGGACCTCGATCTGTTAGATTCCTTCGAATGTTCTGAACCTTGAGGTGATTTAGATCCGGATTTTGAACGGGAACGTGACCTATAATATACATTTTATATAGCTTCCATACAAAAAACAATCAAAAGCAAGTATTTGATTTATACTGAGGCGATTTTTTTTTATGTTTCCAATCCTCCCATGTTTCTACAACTTAAATACAATCTTATTTTAGTAATATTATAAATGCGAATGATTAAATGGATGCATGGATGATTGTTAGAAGTTATCCCCAGAACAGCTTCATCGATCTTGCTGTATAGCATAAATGTAGAACATAGATTGGAGTACACAAAGGCTACAAATAGTGTTCAATTTTTTCCGCGCGGACGGAGTCGCTAGTGAATGCTAGTCATTTATACTTTACCTTTCTTTTGCTTCATTTTGTTCCTGTTTTTCTTCTTCCTCATCTTCCTCTTCATCCTCCTCCTCCTCTTCATCTTCATCCTGTCAAAATATATTTTTATCAACTATCAATATTTTTACTACATTGTCTTAAATAACTTCAAACTTCGTTAAAGATGTGAGTTTAAAACATAACTAATTTAGTATCCTTTTAATAAAGAAGTCTACAAACTCTTTTGATCATCATGGATAAAAAAACCACGACCACTTGAAGCATCTCTTACGTATCAAAGCTAGAACTTTATTATACCTGTGCAGGTTCCAATTGCTTCTCCCTAAGTCTTAGCATGCGGTGCTCAGCTGCGCTAAGAGGTCTATGTGTCACCACAAGACGTGTAAGAGCCTGCGCTGCAACGCCAGCCCTCGCACGACGCTTCGACAAACGTACGCGCGTCTCTAATTCATTGTAGTATACACAATGGTTGCGGACAACCTAGAAAAAATTAAACAAAATATGAGAAACTTTACAGCATGAACATCACAGAGATTCAAATGTAAAATATATAATAGAATGGACATTACAAGCTCTTTTCCTTAAATATTTTAATCATAACCATACATAGAAATTAGTACTACAATCACATATTACAAGTGTTAAACTAGACAACGGAAATTGTACCATGGTACATGATTATAAGTGCAGTTTGGTTTGTATAGTCCCATCTATCTATTGATATTGAAGTAAAATATTCTTGACATATTCATATTATGTCAGTTACTGTTTACACCTTAAGTAAGACCTTAGTGTATATAGTTATGGGCCAGTTAACAACTTAGTACAGCGGTTAAATTAGCAACTTCATATTTGACTTACCAAGAAATAATTTTCTTCATAACCCTTAGAAGCTTTACTTTTGACATTCCAATTGTATTCTCTTGCCATTTTATATTCATATGTATCACCGTCCATGTACGGTATGCCTTCAGTGACATCACGGCGACGTTTTTGTATAGTGTCCTCAGTCGGAAGACAATATGCTACAAATTGTTCACCACTTTCATCCATCACACCTCTGAAATGAATGGAAAATATTGTTTAGTTGAAATGGATGCTGAGATTCTTTGGTAAACTGGGTTGGCTGGAGTGATCCATGACCTGCCTTCACACAAAACACTACTAGTTGAAATGGATTTTTTGCTTTCTACTATGAATCAGACTAAATTTAATATATTTAGACGATAAAAGAAAACAATTAAAAGAGAAAATT